CTTCTGCCACATAATCAATGAATTCGTACTGAAATCCAGGAACACCTTCATCGTCACACACCCATCAGACCTTCAATGAACCAAGCAATGACAAACATTTTACCAAAGTACTCCACTTGACAATTCCTGTACTTCATGGGTAACACCTTCTGCTTATGGTCAAGCACAATAATCACCATTGATGAATCAATCTTCATTTCTTCTTTAACTTTGTTGATTGCATCAAATTGAACTTTTGCTCTAAACCTATGGGCCATGTACCATAATGTTGTCTTTTGTACAATCAGGGTGGATGCTAACATTGATTCTACTTCCTTTGTTGTATCAAGATCATCCACTAGTAATGAAGCAGCCTGCACCAAGACTGGCCTAATTGAAGTGTCGAAAAAATTGACATATTTGCTATACTTAATGCAAAAGCTGTGGTTGTGAACATGATCACATCATCCACCAAGTGCAAACATACAGCAATGGGTCTGGTTGTCAGATGATAAACTCAAATGCTTGTGTGTGTACTCATATGTCTGAAATAACATTATTTCTTTCCATCTAAGATTTTCTCGATGCTTGCTTTAATATAATTTGCCGCAATTTCTTCAGGATACTTCATGTTGCTTAATTTTGCCATCATGGACTCAAATACTGAGCAGACATATCTTAATCAAATATAGTAGGTTGACAAACCAGCTTTTGTTTCGCCTCTTTTTGTCAGCAGCTTCTATAATATTGGAAGTTTTGGAATGTTTACCTATAGGTGAATATATAGCTAATGCATTGCAAAGTGCCAGACAAACATAGAGGGCTGTTCAAATATGCACACAAGTAACCGATAAGTTATTCCAACTTTTGTATCCATCCGATCCATTTGAAATGAAGACTTATTTTATCAACAAACTACAATTAATGAGAAATGTATGACGGAACCCATTTCCAAAAGCTTGTGCAAGCTATCACATGTTGAGTGCAGAAACATTTCCGTGGTTGCTCAAAGCATTTTGGCTAATTCACTCGAACGACATACATGCAAAACGATGCTCGCCGATGAATTCAGTATCCTACCAGACCAACAAAAACAGCTTATACCTTTTCAGATGCACGCAATTGGAAATGTGAAGTTTTCATCCTTGAGAAATACGTTTTCTACTCTGGAATGTGTAACAGATCTGCCAAAACACAATTACACTTTCCGTGTGGACAGCCATAGGATTGCAACACCAATTACGTTAATTAACAAAGCTTTCAAATAATGCCTGGTCAAACAAGGAATGTAAGGATTGACAACCACATATTTTCAGATATGCTGGTTTATGGATGCGGCAGATGGAGTATCGAAAACCTTCACAAAGCATACAAGAACTTCTTTCATAGCCAGGAACATGTTGGGATGCATACATTTCATTGATATTTTAAGACCCTCAGTTGCGAAAAACTGACCCAAATTTAGGAAAAAAAACATCTGAGCCGAAAAATGGATTGGAGGTTTCGGACTACATCACCGTAATGCAATAATAAAATCTAAAAAAAGCTTCTTCTTTTGATTGAAAAAATATACTCGTAAGTGAAATCTGTAAAATGCCTTGCCAGAAAGATAAACGTAGAAAGAAAGGAGACTGCTTCACCTGTGGCATTTGTAGATGCTGCTTACCTTTGGATTCATGCTTGAATAAAGAAAATTATATTAATTGGAAGCAAAGAAATGATGCTGAAAGAAGAGTAATGAAAAGGACGAGTGCCCTGAGAGGTCATAATCGAATTAGATTAGAAGAAAGCAAGGTGTATGATATTGATTTTGGAGATGGAAATGCTGAAGCCTCTAAAACCATTACTGCTTTATTCAATGCCTTGGGTATTACCAATTACATTTTAAAATTCATAATTTGTAAATTTTCTAAATTTTATTTGAATTCTATAATACTCTTTATTTCATTGAAGAAATAATCCCAACCAGAGAAAAATCCTACAAAATTTCCTATCTTACCACAGCCATAATAGTTGGATTACACACAACAATGAAGGGCAAGGTTCGAAAACAGGCAATTCGGTTAGCAATCCTAACTGGTAGTTCCTTATGCAAAAATTGGGCACTCCTCTGGAATAAAAATGATTGCAAGTGAAGTTCCATATAAGTGGCCTAAGTTATACTATACTGAATAAAATTAAAATTACAGGAACAAAACAAACATAAGAGATTAAAGTATAGTGTACAGGCATGAACATATTCCATTTGACAAATCAATGTATGTTGTTAGATGATTTTGTATCCATTTTTTAACCAATCACATGAAAAAACAAACAAACAGAATAATCGGGCAAAAACTTTGAAAGGATGTTGAACTTGCTTTAGTACTCACTTTCAGAGAACTTTGTTTTTATTTTTTTGTAGGATGAAGAAATTGTCTCAATGGTAACATTCCTAGACAAAAAAATTAAATAAAACTTGTTCAACAAAACTGAACCCATGTGAAATAAGCTTAAGGTTCTTGAGAAAGTATAAACAAATTTCCAGTTACTTTAGTACAACTGTATTATGTACATGAATATATAATGACAATGCTGGTGAGAAACTCTACAAGTGGATCAGTAGTGTAAATAATGCTTAAACCAGAAAATTCATTCATGAATAGAATGTACATTTTTGTAACCCTATCAGATACATGACATACTTTCAGCTAACCAAATCTCAGAATTGAGTTATTTATGGATCACACTAATAGTTCTTAATATCAGCAGCTCACTTTTGACAGCAAGTATTTCCTGTATCAACTTGTACAGTAAAAGTCAATCTCTCTAACACATACAGAGAATTTTTATTTTTTACATTTTGATAAGTCATGACAACAAATTCCTCTTCATTAACACAGTCTACATCATGTCAACATCTAACAGATTCAATAAATGGCAGTGTGATACATCATATGTATGCTTTGTATTCAAGAAAGCATCACGAAATGGCTGCACGAGAGTTAAATTTCAACACAAGGTAGATAACTCATAACACCATCAATGGACAAAGTTAAATTGCCAACATGCACTTTATACTACAAGTGCAGACACACGTGCAATAATTATTTAATACTGAAATACTTTTACAAACCAAAAAGAAAAGGAGAAAACTAACTGCTGACACACATTATGAAACTTTGCCAAGTATGCCAGTGCCAACAATATGTAATTAACAAGAAAAACATCTGCTGTGGTTTCAGATCCAACAATGACATCAATGCTGGATTTTTTTAGTGGTAAGACAAACTACAGTAAAAATAGAAAAATTAGAACTTAACTCTGAATTTTCACATATTTGAATCTTTTCATAGAATCATTTGTGCACTGACTGAATATCCTAATTTATTCTTCTACCACCAGTTACATATTTACTTCCATTCACTTTATGTATTTATACATAAATAATTCTAATTATGTATGATATTTCAAGTTGAACCAAATAAATTTAACCAAAGTTATTCTATCAGTTACACACAGTTTCAATTTGGACATGAAACTGATAAAAATCACATTTTTCTTGAAATACATATGCATCTAACCTCAGGTCTGTAAGCACAAAATATGTAAAAAAAAATATTTGTTTTGTAATGTCAGATGGATATATTTTCTATAGTTTCTTCCTTTTCTGACAGGTATAAACAGAATATACTTATTTTGTGTGATAAGTAGTATAATGAGTTATAAAAATATTTAAAAAAAAGATCATTCTGCTGTCACCCAGCAAGTTTTACTATAAGATTTTTAATATGTGTTAGATTCATATGTACCAAGAAGATGGAAGGTTCCATACTGTCTAAACATGAATCACTTATAAAATGTAAGATTTAGTGAAAAAACTGTTCTTTTCATATGTTAGTTGTTTTTCACTTATTCAGAAAAGAAATAGATCAATAAAAGCATGGATTCTTGGTAAAGGGACAACATCAGGATTGACTGGAAATTGTATAAAGGAAGCTAATAAAAGGATCAAGGACCAGGAAAAATAGCATCACACTGTCCATCTAATATCAGTCAGATGTGAAGATGCCATTAACCTGTAGTTACTGATGTCAAGTATTATGATAAACTTTAATATTAAATGTGGTAACTACAGTAATATTATTTTCAATCTCTCAAAATCTAAACATGGAAAGTCTAATTCAAGATGTTGCATGTATACATACTGTTATGTACAACAAAAAGAACATTTTTCAATAATTCAACTTAATAATAAATACACATCTGCATTACAAATATTTAATTAAGCAATTCAAGAACCATACTTTTAATTTTGTTTCTGTAAGAAGCAAAACAGGAATAAAAGAACACAGAAAATAAACATAGAACACTCTTAATAAGCATTTTCTTTTTCTTTAATCAGACTCACATCTCTGAATTTGGGGATCTTTGCATCACCAAACAGTTACTGTACATAAACTAAATTAAATATTCAAAGTAAAATCTAAAATTTACAAACTTCTATACAATGTAATTTATAATAATTCATGAATTTTTCATTTATATTTTATTTGTTTATAATAAAAGTAAAATGTTATTGAATCAGAATTACTCTTGAAGAAGTTTGCAATTCTAAGAAATGAATGAAAAATCAACCAATTCAGTTTGCATATATCCTGAAATTTTCAAAAATTTATTTTAAGTCAAAATTATTACATGCACTGGTGAATTTTATATTTGTTTTCTTAGCTTTTCAAATGTACAATAGAATTAGAGGTATACACCTGATATCCATATTCTCTTTTTCTGCACTAACACTCATCCCAGCCCAATATTATGTCTCACATAGCTGGCACAGTGCCTAAAGGGCTAATGATCACTAGAATAAGAAAATTGGCACATGTGTGCTCAAAATAGATAGAATGATAACTAAAAAAAGGAAATCAATGGGGCCAATATTGGAGAAATCTGGCAAGTACATGTATTTTTTACACTGTTAACCAAAAATATTGTTATTAAAGGTGAGGATTTAACAAAATTTATAAAAATCAAATTTATTTTTTTCAAACAAGCTAAGGACTGATCAAGTTTTTGCTGTAAACAATAGGAAAATGTTGTATTCACTAAACATACATATCCAGTTATATATATACATATATATATAATATATATATATATATATATATATAACACAACACTACTTACGTACGTACGTACGACGTACGTAGA